TTGTTTTGAAATAGGATACACATAATATGTGTCAAATATTTTTAATCGCATAATTTATGTTTTTAAAGTGTTATATAAGATATGTAAAATAAAATGAGTATTGTTTTTTTTTTCTATTTGAAACATCTTAAATTATGTTTAATGAACTTCGCGGTTACTTCAAATTTTATAACGAATCTGGTTGTTAATTTTGAAAGTGGCCTAATTCCATTCTTGGTAAGAAAACGCATATTATTCACTTAATAATTGCCATTATTTTAATAGAAACTGTAAATTTAACACCATTAGATACATTTAAGCAGCATAACTCATTGCTATTCTGTACGTATATTTTTAAATTCATTGAAACGCAATACTTTAAATATCTCGATTTAAAGGTAAATGGAGTTAGGCCACTTTCAAAATAAGCGGCTCATATACAAAATATTAAATATTTAAATATAAATAAAGAAGAGTTTTTTATAGAAAAGAATGAGAGAATGGTGAGTTTCTAAGAATGACACGTTTAAATCTTACGGTTTTCTAATCTAATGACGGTATCGTATCTCAGTGCTTAGATTTCGTTAAAGTTGATGTCCCATTAATTGCTATGCTATATCATTATAACGATCCCAAAGTACAGATTCGTTTTATTATCCTTTTCTCGATAATCGTGTTGTATACCTTTATACGATTATACGAGTTGTATATAACTTTTTTTTCTTTTCCTCTTTCTTCATATCTTTTTTTTTTATTTATTTTTATCTTCTTTTTTTTTTCTTTCTTACCTCCTTATATTTATATACCCGAGTTCTATTCGTTCCTATTTCCACATTGAATTTTCAATGAGAGAAACGAACGAGAAGATATTTAGGGACAGTTTTTTAACAGCTTACACTTTTTTACCGAACGAAAAGTAACGTAACATTGGTAAGGTTATTGTCTAAAACTTTGAGGGGGAGGGTGGAGGGGGGAGGGAGGGAAGAGCTATAAAACTGTTCTTTTTTTATTTTTTGTTTTTTTTTTTTTTTTTACACGAAAGGGACACGTCCCACTGATATCGACATTTTTTTATCGTCTCGATTTTTTTTAACTATACTACTATACGTAAAAATCGCTTTTGCGTTATTTTTCTCTTTTGTGTTTCCATCAAATTCTATTCATTCAAATGACACTTTTATTTTTTCAGGTAAAAAGAAAAGGTACGACGAAGCTTGAACAAAAAAAAAAAGGATTCATAAAATATTATTTCGTTAAACAAAACTCTTTTGCTATAATAATTCTTTGAGAAAACTTTGGATCATTTTTCTTGTTTGCTTCAACTCAACAAGCAAAAGAATAGCTCGACAACTAATCATTCCAAACTGCACTTTCTACTCTTTCATCCTTTATTATACTTTTTCGGTTTAAAAGCGAACGAACGGAATGAAACGAAACGAGAGAACGTTTTTTTTTTTTTTTTATTTTAAGCTGCCCAAAAAAGGAATTACCGTTAATATTTTCGACAATCGAATTATCTTATGTGCTTTTTTTTCTCTCTCTCTTTTTCCTTCCAAATCGATTTATTTCTTCAAGCTTATATCATTAAACAAATTATCTCGTTTGAAAAAACCAACATTTTTTCAAGCTTGATTTATTTTAGACGATGTTATTCACAAAAAGAAATAACCAAAGAATGATAATGAAGAAATTTGACTAAAATACATCGATATTTATCAATTTATTGTAAACCTATATCTTTCAAATTATCTCATTAAGAAAACGATATTTGTTAATGCTTGATTTATTTTAAAACGATATTTATTTTAAAATCCACTGAACGATAATTAAGAAATTTCATTGGAATACATTGAAATTAACTTTGGTTTCTTTTCCCTCGCCCCTTTCCTTCTACCGTTCATTATTTTTTTGGGATTTTTCGACGAAAATAACAATATTCTCGAAAAGATTAGAGTCGAGTGGAGTACCTAGAAAAAGAAAAATAAAATAAAATAAAAATAAAACAAATAAACGTTCCATACGAGTCGTCGATTATCATTTTTAACAGCAACATTTAGTTAATTGTTATTGCTTTACCGCCTTAAGGCAAAATCGCAATGAAACTAACTCGAGACCCCGCGTTTCGTTGCTAATTACCCCGACAAAGCCTAAGGACATTTTTTCTATCAGCACATTTGTAAACTTCGAGATAGCAATTTCGTTTGTGTAGTAGTAGCGAAATATAACTTGTCAAAAATAATATACGTTAAAATATACATATTTAATATGTATGTCAATTGCATTAAATATTATCATATATGTAAAACAGAGGTATAATAATTAAACGTAGAAAAACATTTCTATAATATTTTAATCAAATTTACGATAATTTCTTAAATTATCTTTCTCCTACCCCTTCCTCTTCCACTCCAGAGAAAACAAAAATAACAAAATATTTAGCATTTCACTCTTTGTTTTTCGGTCTCTTTCGATAATTTAGAATTAATCTAATAATAACTCTAATAATATTTGGAATTAAATAAATTTAAAATTAATCCGATAATAACTAATGTATCATAAACATATCTCCAATATCTATTTTCGTAAAAGAATCTTTCGAAACTCGTTAAGAAAATATTTTTCCATTGACGAAATAGATCCGAGGTCGTTTAAAAAATATTATGATACGATTAAGAAATAAATGAACCGAAATCGATTTGTATTAAATTAACGAAGAAAAAAACCCATTAGGCGAACGAAATTATTACGATTAGATTATCTTATCGTGAATGGAATCGTTACGGTTCGAAAAAATTTCGGGTGGTGATGAGGGGGGGGGGGTAACGGAAATATAATAAAGAAGAAAGAAGAAGGAAAAAGTAATGTGCGATAGAGATAGGAGTCGGCCGGTGTAATTAGGTGTTTTCGTTTCAAAGAAACGTATATGAGGTCGATGAAAGAATTCTACCACCACCAAGAGAGTGACTTTTAAAGTTACTGACCAACTCAACACGTTCTTTCGAAAGAATCAGTTAGCTTATCGTTATACGTGTTTTTCTACCGGAAATACTAATTCTACATATCGTTATTTGGATATTTTCGAACTATGTAAACAATCGAAAAATTAATTAAAGAGTATTTTTATTTTATTATAGAGAATCAAATTGATTTGATTTGTGTGAACGATAAATAGACGATAAAGAAAAAAAAATAAGAAGAAAAATAATAATAAGAAGAAGAAGAAGAAACGAAGAAACGCATCACGTTACATAAAAGGACCTTAGGCAAGTCATTCCGTAGCGTATGGAGGTCAAGCGTAATGCTTGCCAGCGTATGAGACTTTCCCACGTTCCGTCTACCAAAACGTACGTACACCCATGAAATTATTCTCCAACTAAGTAAGTAGAAGCGAGAAACCAATTTCATCGAGAGGACATGATGTTACTTACGTTAGTTTGTTTCCTAGGTAATAAACTAATCACGTTTCGAACTTTATCGTTGTGAACAATTTTATTACGAAAGATATCAATCGAATTAAGAATAATACGACATAACAATAAACAAACAAACAAAAACAAATATATATATATATTTATTTATTTATTTATACTCCGTTCCTTTTGAGGTTTGGAGAGCTTCCGATACACTTTTCTTTTTTACAAAAATTCAGAAACTCCCAAAAATTCAAACAAACAACTATTATATATATATATACTATCTTAATACAAACAAATATATAATTTTTGATACGAAAGAAAAATTAAATTTGAAAAAGAACAATATTACGATAAACTAAAATACACATTTTTTTTTGCGCTTAAAATAAATAAATAAAAATGTAATAGTATAATATTAGTCTTGAAAAAAAAGAATGAAATAATTTCGATCTAATACTTATGTTCGAAAAAGAATGATAGAGAAGTACCGAATAGAAGGTGAGAGAAAGAGAGTAGGGAGCGAAGTAGCGAAGCCCCTCCCTTCTACCCCTTCTCCTAACTAAAAGAGAGAATCCCTCCAGTGTGAAGTTACCCCCACCAATGCAACCGAGAGAGGTCCTGCAGCCCACCTGTGCCCGCCGAGCGGATGGACCCTGCACGCTTCTCCGACTCGGCACACAGTGTGTCCATAAGGCCCATTCGAGCTATACTTACGAGGAACGCGCGCGCTATCGTACGAGTAGGCGAATAGTAAGCAAGTAAACGAACGTACTACTGTACGAACAAACGAAAGAATAAACGAAAGAACGATAAAACAAACGATTGAACGAAAGAGTGGGACCGAAGGAAATCATTGGAGGTGGGGGTCGATTCAAGAATCGACGTGGACACCCTTGCCTTCCAAAGTCATTCACCCAACGGTCATCGTCGGATCAACTATCATCCACTGCTTTCCTCATTGTTATCGTTTTATCCATCATGTGTGTTTATTTCATAATTATTCAATGTTAATCCGATATTCAGTTTTATACTTTAATTCGAACTAATTTCTGTTTTTATTTTTATTATCGATTTATTCCTTTTATATTTTTTTTTCCCCCATTTCTTATTTTTTTTTACATACATTTCAATACGGACGGATTACAAACAAACATACAACGTTGGTGTTTACGAATCGTCGAGTGTTGATAACAGTGAATTATTTTGTTGGATATCCAAGAACGATAAAGTTTTCAAACGGTGTGATTGAGAAAATTTCTTCTTTTTTTTTTCTCTTTTTCACTCGTTCATGGTTATTTTTTGTTTTTCTAAGTGACTCAATTTCAACTTATCGTTACAGTTTCGAATCTGTGCTAAATTTTTGTCTTTCCCCTTCTTTCCGATAGATTCTTATAAAAGTGAGATTGAAGAAGAAGAAAATATATTACAGTGTAAAAAGAGAGGAACAAATATTACGAAGAAGGAAGAAGGGAGAGAGAGGAGGAGGAGGAGGAGGAGAGGATAAGAAAAAAGAGAAGAAGAAGGACTATGTAGTAGTAGTATCATCCTGTATGAAGAAGAGTTACAAACTCGAATGAAACAAGGACGCAAACTGAATGTCATCAACATCGATGAGCTATTAATCATCGCAAGGCTCTTCAAGGTACGTGTCGAATGAGGAAATTTTCTAATTCGTATTAGTAAAAGAAAAAGAGAAAGAAAGATATACATATACATATATATATATAGGTATATATATATAGGTGAAACGTTAAGAATTCGTAATTTCGTGCACATCGCTACGGTATAATCTCGTGTTTAACTTCGCGAACGACATTGTATAACACAACAAGCGTGCCCTGACATTTAATTAATCTACGCGGAGGCGGAGAATGCGTTTCTTTTGATCGAATGAAAAAAAAAAGAAAAGAAAATACCGGAGGGCGGGTGACGGGTTGGGGCAAGGGAAAAGAAAATGAAAAAAAAAAAAAAGAAATATCAGAAGAAACGGATAAAGAATGGTGACGCGCGTATCGTAATACGGCATGCCAGCGAGTATAGTTGTTGGTTGGTTGGTCGGTTAATTTGATTGTAATGGTGCATAAAACCTAGAATGCAACTCCTACGATCGAGATCGAAAGGGGATGGGATGGGATGTAAGGGATAGAAAGAGAGAAAGAAATAAGGTGACGTTTCGCACGTAGTTTCGTAATTCTTCGTATAAGTTAGGTGCTTGGTTGCACGTCGTTGACGTGCCAAACGACTACTACGACAATAACGAAGACGAAGACGACGTCTTTGTCTACGTTATTTTTCATCTTCATCATCTTAGATCGTGACACTATACCAAGGGGGAAAAGTCGTCACGGTTCGACAGGATTTCAAACGTTATTACGTTCTCGAAGTAACGAGCCCGATAAGAGACCTTTAAGTCATTCTATCTATCTATCTATCTATCTATCTATCTATCTATCTATCTATCTTATTTCTATCTCTATCTCTATCTGTTCGTTAGTCAGATAGTTCAACTCACCGCGATCGCAGCAATTAGTTAATTCGCTAGACATCGAGTAGATTCGTATCTATCGATGATCTTAATGATATCGAAAGCGTATGATATTCTCACCGTTCTGATTGTGAATAGAAGCGAGAGCTTATTACGACGGGAAACGGACGATGAGAACATTTATATTCTACGCTTCTCTATCCCTTTTTTTTTTCCCCTCATCTTTCTTTCTTTCTTTCTTTAATAACACATTCTTCTCATTTATGGTATTAAAATATACGAACTATGTTCGAAGATACCTTTTAGAAATTAGAATCGTAACACTTCTCTTTCTCGATTATCTTATTAAATTCTTACCTTTTTTTTTGTTTTAAAATGGAAAGTATATTTGAAATTAATATAGAAAATAAATAATATTCAATTTTCGTATTTAAATAATATTATCGTAACAATAATTATTATATGATTGCACGAATATCAAGCACGTGTTGCAAATAATACATTGGAATGAATAGAAAATTCATAATTATGATAACCGAAGTATCGATTAATTTAATAATATAATTCGAGTATCGAATAAATCATAAAATATACATTTATACGAAATAAAAATGTTTTTTTTTTTGTAATGTAATAATAATTATTGTTACACATAGGATATATACACGTAATAAATAAATTTTTCCTTGACGATTCTAGTCGAGCATATCGGATCATCGTAGAATACGGTTAAGATAAGGTAGAATTAATAATACGATTCGACGAGGCGGCAAGTAAGAATATATACATATATACATATATATATATCAATAGTAGTGCATCGTTTGCGGTGCCGAAGGCCGTTCGCGGGACCACGCGTTGCGGAACGTTACGTTCCTTTTTCGTTTCTTTCATTTTACGAAAGACCGGAAGTTGCTCTCCGCGAACTGGATCGCGCAGCACCGTTTTAAGAAGATGATATATTATGATATCGCATTATGTATTACGAGAAATCCTGAATTAGTAATTATCATTAATTCGTACATTGTATTTAACACGATAGAGATAGATATAAATCGTGTTTAACATTTTATCATTCGTTTGAGATTAAATAACGATCGATTCATTCCTTTTTCATTATTAACACAAAAACGAATTCTTGTTTACTTATACAAATAAAAAAAGTAAACGTGTGTGTACGTTTATGTGTATGTATGTATGTATGTATGTATGTATGTATGTGAAAAATTAGAATAGATATTTATCGTTAGAATCGTGTTAAAGAATAAACATGTTAATATTATATTTACGTTAGCCGTCGGCAAACTATCGTATGCACTGCAACTGCACTTTCGTTCTTTGCTATTAGAAAAAAAAAAAAATAAAATAAAAAAGTGTCCCTGATAAGTCAAAGCTCTCCTTGACGAGATCAACGTGTTTTAATGCAAGTTGACTAATAAATAAAAAATATAAAAAATAAGTAAAAAACGTAGAATAAACTAAAAAAAAAGAAGTAGAAAGAAAATGTTTGACCCGATACAATGGTCGGTTGAGGGTAGAGAAAAAAAAAGAAGTCAGGTAAAAAATAACTTGTTTTCGTTTTTTTTTTTGTGTATCATAGTCGTATAATGGATAGGAAGAAAGAAAGAAAGCCGTGAGGGATGATGGGGGAGGCCGGAAGATAGACTTTTTTAACGCAGAAAACAAAAAACTGTCTGTCGACTTTTTTACGGACACTAGAGATGCACTTTCCCTGTTTCGGGAATCAATCGTTTTGTCTGTCCTCTTTCTTTCTCCAGTTTTTTAAGGCTTTCTTAACCATTCCGTATCGAAATGAACTACTAAAAAACATCGGTCTAAAAAACTTGGACGAAACGTTTCTTTCCTTTTTTCCTTTCTTTCTTTCTTTCATTCTTTCTTTGTTTGTTTGTTTTCAACACTCTTCGCACTGTGCAGTTAAAAAAGGGACCTCCGTATAAAAAAATCTAAGGTAACGTAACGACGCGTATATCACGAATTGGTCATAGTATTTCGTTTTTTTATTTTGTTTTTTAACACTAACATATATCCAGAGATCGTAAAAAAAAAAAGAATAAGAAAAGGTTGTCCCGTAATATTTAACTAATACCCTTGACTTAAAAAATTGTTCTAACCGTTCAGTTGTTCTTTCTTTTTACTGACCTTTCTTCAATACGTTTTGAGAAATGGTTTCTTAGAGGTTTTGTTGTTTTTTATAGATCTATCCGGTAAAAAAGTTGTCGGAGAAGAATAGGAAAATCGATGCTGAAAGATTCGTAAACACAGATCGTGAACATGACGAAAATATTTTCTTTTGGGGGTGAGTGAGTGATGGTGGTGGTGATGGGAACATCTTGTTTGTATACTTTCTCCCTCTTTCTATTTATCCCCTCTCTCTCTCTCTCTCTCTTTCCCCCCTTTTCTTTTCTTCTTTTTTACAACCTTTGACCACCGTGATTAAAGCGAGAGTCACTCACTCACTCACTCACTCACATCGCATCTAATCTTCTTCTTCTTCTTCAACACGAATACTTCGAAGTTTATTTTAAGATACTACACGACGAGCAAGGAATCTTTCATCCGGATCGCGTTGTGCAATACACTCATCAACTTAGAATCCTAGACGAGTGACTATGTGACCACTACGACAACAATTATTGACTATGACTATTACTATTACTACTACTACGATAATAATTATAATAGTCTCGCGTATGTCGTTTAAAATCGCGGAATAAAATTCTAACGATTAATTGAAGGTCCTATTATAATAAAACAACAAATTCAATTCTATCAATTGAATCTTTCTTACGATTATCGTGAATAATGAAGTGAAGTGAAAAAAGATAAAATATAAGAATAATAAGAAAAATACTTTGAGAAACGTTGAACCTGAGAGAAGGAATCTTAGACGTTGCGAGATCGTCAATCAACGCGATTCTTTCCGTCGACGTGAAGAAACATAAAAAGAAAGAGAAAGAGAGGGAAGAAGCGAGGGTGTTGGGGGCTGTTTTATCGAGAAGGTCAACGCGAGAAAGGAAAAACGAAAGGTACATATATATATACCTTCCTTCCTTAGATATGATTCCCTTTGGTACATTAGAAAAATAAAGGAATTTATTTAAAGTATCAATATTTGATTACATATGGTAATATAAAGGTGCTTAGGAAAAAATGTATTGTAAATGTTAAGTATAGTTTAAATGTATGACTTTGAAAAAAAAAAAAAAATGTATATTGACTCGTGAACAATAACGATCGAGTTACTAATGAAATCCTAAAAAAGGAACGAAACGTTCAACTTGTTCGAAAAAAATCGTTCATATATCCAAGTTCCCTTTGATA